GAGGGCTGTGACGGCTCTCCTTGGGCGGAAGCAGCAGAGGACTCCAGAGCTCCGGGCTGAACGAGCTCCCAGGTGCGCGCGGCCCGGCACAGCGAGGGGCTGCCAGGGCGTCGAGGGCTCCGGAAGGGCGACGGGGGAGGGGCTGCGTCAGCCCCGGGCTGTGGCGGCTCGAGCGGGGAAGGGAGCGGCCCGACGGCTGCCGCCTGCTCCCCGTGGGGTGCCGGCTCCTCAGTCCCAGCTCCGGCCATCCGGTCCCCTCCGGGGCTACCTGGCCCCAGGGGAAACATGACCAACGCCCCCGCCCCCGCCTCCGGGCCGCTGCCCCTCCGCTCCACAACTCAGCGCTCCCGCTCCCGCCGCCACTTCCGGCGCGCGGAGGCCTAAACCCGCCGGCTGGGAAACCGCGCCGCCCCTCGGCCATCATTCGCTGGGGACCGCGAAAGCGGGAACACCGGCCGGCCGCACTCGTTCGTGAGCGACTAGGTGTGTGTGAGTTCTGCCGCGGATGCCCAGGGCCGGGGCTGGCCGGGGCAATTAGCATCTGGGCTCCCTGTGCGACGAGTCTACAATTGTCAGTGACCATGACCGTGTGCCTGGGGATGAGTGGGCCTGACTAGTAAAGAGGCTGGGTATGGTCATTCCCCGCTTAGCACTGAGATTAGCGAGGGGAAGAAATTACCATGTATGTGTAAATCGCACATAGTAAGTGACATAATATACTGCCTACTCAACCTGGGAGGCTAAGGACTCCGGGAACTTTTGCACTAAAAAGCCCTGGCCTGTACAAGAAAACGAGGCATATCGGTGCCCTGAATGTATCTACCTACCCACTTCCCAGCTACTGCACAGTAGGCCAAGACTTTGTCAAGGCCAGAGCCTTCCTTTCTGCAGGGAGGAGCATGTATATCCAGCCAGACGTCAGAGGGGAGCTAGAGACCTGAATCAAATCTACCTTACAAGCAGCAGAACCCAGGGTCAACCCTGTTTATATCTGCCAGGCAGGGAATGACAGATGCACCACTGCTGTTGATAAATACATGGGACTCTGCAGAAAGAGGTTAACAGGAACTGGGTGTTTCTGGTGAAGAGAAGGAGAGTCTTCGGTAAAGGGAAGCTTGAGGTACAAGGGGTACATATAGGAACTGACAACTCTTCTGGGCCTTGATCAAGAGCTGTGTCCTAGAAAGCTCACATTTGGTGACTGAGGGAAAAATAGGGTGGATCTTTGTAGAAAGATCTGTTTTGTGAGAATAGATCTGAAGGATCTCTGAAGGACAGGAATGAAGTTCAGAGAGGGCTGAACATTCAGCAGATGCTCCCACCATATAGTAGTTATTTAGCTCTCCTGTCTATGAGTTGATTGAAAAAAGGGTAAGAAGCAAGCCTCTTGAGTTCAGAGATCAAGGCAGCCATTTCTCTGGAGATATTCCCCATGTTGTTCCCATAGNACCTCTTGAGTTCAGAGAAGATCAAGGCAGCCATTTCTCTGGAGATATTCCCCATGTTGTTCCCATAGAGCGGAAGGGGTAGAGGTCTGTCTTATGTCCCTTAAGACCCACAACTTCTGGCTTCAACAAATATTTAATAGAGGCCCTCTGCTTGACCCCCAAGTTATGGCCAATGGCTAAAACTTTAAGGTCTACAAAACTTTGACCATGATACATTCACTAATGTGAGCATTTATGTTTAAATTCTTTACTTGAATAAAGATATTAATATTCCTTCCATGGATTCTTTTGCTATTAATTTATGTATATAAATCAGCATGTAGTTAATTTGTAATTTTTAGAAACTAGTGAGCTAAAAGTATTAAATGTTCATTCAAATAGTACCTCTTTTGGGACACCTGTCCTTACCCCTACCTCCTCCCACACAGAGGTAAGCACTTTACCATCTGTAATTTCAGGGCTGACACTCTGATCAGGCTGTTACACAAGCTGTAACACTTGGTATTTTTATGTAACTGACCAAGATCAGTTCTTACAATCTGACCAAAAAACAACAAAAGTTAACAACTCAGTTGACCTCTTATTCAGTTGGCTCGAAAGTATGTTGCCAGATTTGGAGGGCAATTAGAGATAGTCTTTTTTAAACATCCTAAAAATCTAAAAATTCACATTGGAAGCAGATGCCTCAAAAAGATGAGCAGAGCCCTGGCCGTGTGGCTTAGTGTTCGGAACATAGTCCAGTACACCAAAAGGTTGCGTGTTTGATTCCTGGTCAGGGTGCATACAGGAGGCACCTGATGGATGTTTCTCGCTCACATGGCTCTCTCTCTCCCCCTAAAAATCAATACAAAACATATCCTCAGGTGAGGATAAAAAATAAAAAGATGGAAAAATAAAGTGTGCCCCAGAGAAAGTAGCAGTGAGGACTTAACAGCAGTTACTGACTTTCCCAAGCCATGTAGGAGGAGCTCAATTATGTATAAATGTGCACATGATATGTGTATATTTGTAGAAAAAAGTATAGGGAGAGACCTGCCAGCATAGCTCAACGGTTGAGCATTGATCTATGACCCAGGAGCTCGCGGTTCAATTCTGAATCAGGGCACATGCCAGGGTTGAGGGCTCATCTCCAGTAGGGGGCGTGCAGGAGGCAGCCCTATCAATGACTCTCATCATTGATGTTTCTATCTCTCCCTCCCTCTGAAATCAATAAAGACATATTTTTTTAAAAGTCTAGGGAGAAATACACACTAAAATGTTAACAACCATTTATCAGGTATTACCTATTTTATGCCAGACCCTGGCTGACAGCCTAGCAAGGGAGACAAATGGGTGCAAGACAAATGCGTTTTATTTTCTTTTTACCTTCTCTGTTTTCCACAGTGTGGAATGTTATCTTCTTCAGCAACAACGAAAAAGGTTTTCTTTTGGAAAATGAAAATACTTTTCCTTCCGAGGGCGGACTCGGAAACTAGGGTCTACTCCCGAAGCCCTTTTGCTCAGTTCCCATTGTTCCCACGGAACCACTTGTGCGAGCGTCTCGCATCCCAAGGTGCGACCCGAAACACCGGAAGTAGAGGCTCCGCGATGGACTCTAGCTGAGTGCTGCTCCTACCGACCGCGGACAGACTGCAGGGTAGGCAGCCGGCTAGAGACACAATCTCGTCCACCTTGGGGGGTGAGGGGACCCGCCGTCCCACAGAGGGATCAGGCTTCACCGAGTTAGGCTCAGGTCCAACAGAGAGCTACTGCCGAAAACTTTCTGGCGACTGGACGCCGTACCGGAAATAGGAGCCGGAAACTGTGTGTGGTGCGCCGGGCATGGCTCAGGCGGCGGCTGTCGCGGCCGAGTCGCTGGCGCTTGGCCGAGCGCGGGCTGCGCGCACTGTGCTGGATCAGGTGGTGCTCCCGGGTGAGGAGCTGCTGCTGCCGGAGCAGGAGGATGCTGAAGGCCTGGGAGGTGCCGGAGAGCGACCGCTGCGCTTAAATGCCGGGGCGCGTTCCCGGGTGCGTGTTGTGTGCGGCCCGGGCTTGCGGCGTTGCGGCGACCGCCTGCTGGTCACCAAGTGCGGCCGCCTCCGTCACAAGGAGCCCGGCGGCGGCGGTAGTGGCGGCGTTTACTGGGTGGACTCGCAGCAGAAACGGGTGAGTTGGGACCCCGGAGGGGTGGCAGGGCCCTGTGAAGATGCAGGGAGGGGGCCCCGGAGCCCTCCTCCGTTAATGCTAGCCTTAGAGCCACCATGTCTGTGCGCACGTCTGCATCTCCGTTAGAGGGACTGTCACAAACTGGAACGTGGCCCGAGAAGGGCAACCAGAAGGGAGTGTGGAAATCTTGGCATATAAGAGATAAGGACAGTGAGACACGGTAGTTGTGTTCAAAATCCCAAAGGTCATGGATAACCAGGCTTATCTTTAGGGGTCCCAAAGGGCAGAACCAGGCTCAGTGAATGGATGTCCCAGGGAGTTAAATTTCTCTTGGAATAAGTAAGAGCTTTCATATAGGAAAAATTGTCTAACACTGAAATGGCCTTCCTTGGTTGTGAGGACCCCCTGTGACCCTGGACTTATGTGGGAGCAGAAGGTAGGGGCTTCCTGATAAGGATGCTGAAGAGGTATATAGGATACCAGCTCAAATGAACAGACTGTTTGTTAGAAGCTGTAAACCTGAGAGTGATATGATGTGATTGTTTTTCTTTTACTGAAAGGGGCATATGACCAAGTGTGTTGTAAGATTTGTGTTACTTAGATTTCAAAATATTTCCTAAATGTCTCCAGTGACAAACAAAGCAAAGTAACCACTGAGGACTTGCTGAAGATATCTTCCAAGATACCTTGGAAATGATTGTCATTTATGGTGGTTCTCTCATTCTCATTTCTTTTGTAGTATGTCCCAGTGAAAGGAGACCATGTGATTGGCATAGTGACAGCTAAATCTGGAGATATATTCAAAGTCGATGTTGGAGGGAGTGAGCCAGCTTCTTTGTCTTACTTGGCATTTGAAGGTGCAACTAAAAGAAACAGACCAAATGTGCAGGTAATGATGGGAAACGTTGGTTTCAAAAGAAGAAAATCCTCTAAATATTCTGAAGGCTCCCTGGATTGTCTCCAAAGCATGACTGTTTTCCCAGTTCTATAGAATGATCTCCGAGCATCTGTGTGATCATTCCAGGCTGCAAGAGTTCCTTTTGTTGCTTCAGCTCCGGGACCAGAGTCACATACTTATGTTATATTTGCTATATTGGGGGTTGTTTCATCTGTACTGAGTTGAAAGGTTATGTCTCTTCTCTCCATTGTTATCTGTTATGTCCATATCCACTGGACAAGGAAGTGAGCCATAGGCTTAGGGAGGAAGGAGGAATACGGGCTGCAAAATTGCCATATCAGCCATCCATCTATCCTGATTGTAGGTCCTGGAACTGGCACCTCACAACTTCAGTCACATCACTGTTTCCCAACAATCCCTTTTTGGAACTGACAGAGGAGTAGTCCTGTTTCCTCAAGTTTATTATTTGGGCTTTTCAGGTAGCATAGCCACGCTTTTCCTGTCCACCCAAGCCAGAAATTTGGTGGTTTCTTTGCCCCTTATCACTCACTTTTCATGTGTCTTTTGTTGCTTAATTTTATTGATCCTATTTGATTCTATCTTTAATTCTACCCTGCATCTCCATTTTGCAAGTTCAGACGAGAGGTACCCTTGACTGGAGGTGGTCGATTACCTCCTCATTAACATCCCTGCCTGTACAGTTTTGCCCCTCCATCCAGGTTTATGAGAACTGACAGCCTCATACACTCCCCTTTCTTAAAAGCCTACAGGTGTCCTTGGCATTATACTCTAAAAGTCTTCCCTCATTCATAATTCTATCTCCACACAGCTATGCTTGAACTACACCGAACTGTTTAACAGCACTTCTGAAGTCGTAATGTCCTGTCCTGTATGCCCATGCTGTTCCTCAGTCTGGATTGCTCTATCCCCTTTTCAGCCTGTGGAACACACAATCATCTTTTAAGACCCAGGCCAAATACCACCACTTCTGCAAAACCATCCCTGATCTTCACTTTTTCTTATAACTGCTAGCACTTAACTAGATTTGCCCTTGAATGAAGTTTGTTGTTTATATGTACATTCCCCACTCCTCTCCAAGACCAAATGCTTCTTAAAGGCAGAGAATGTTTTGTTTCTTTCTAGTTCCTATGAGTACTTGAGTTCACTCTGAATTTCTTTAGTTTCATCATTTTGAACTCTGTGAAGTTTTAAAGTAAATCGTGCATGAAGAAGTGTCAATGAATTACCATTGTTCAATTTTGCTTTGAATAACATGCATGCCAGGAGTTTCTTCTATCCATCTATCTTTTGTAATTCCCTAGAGCAGTGCTACCGAATGGAACTTTCTGTGATAATGCTAATGTTTTACATCCACAGTGATTAGTATGATAGCCCCTAGCCATACATGCCTGTGGAACACTTGAAATGTGGCCAATGCAACTGAGGGACTGAATTTTAAGTATCAAATTCTAATTAATTTAAAAGTGAGTTTAAATAACTACATGTGGGTCAATGGCTACCGTATTTTATGGTGTAAACCTAGAGGGTATTTATTTTCTGGCTTTGAGAAAGCTCCCGATCTAGGGATTTCCTGGTGGGTAAAGAGGAAGGGTACATGTGTTAATGTTGTCTTCTTTTAAGACCCAATTCTAGGGTGACTGAGAATCCTGAAGTGTATTCAGCCCTTAGCCACAGACCTATAGGTGGCTGGCATTGCTGCCTATGGGAAAAAACTAATAGTAGCACCTATAGAATGGTTTGCTCAGAGAAAATGAACTGTTTTTTAATTATCATTGTAGGTTGGAGATCTCATTTATGGACAATTTGTGGTTGCTAATAAAGATATGGAACCAGAGATGGTTTGTATTGACAGCTGTGGACGAGCCAACGGAATGGGTGTGATTGGACAGGATGGTCTGCTTTTTAAAGTGACTTTGGGCTTAATTAGAAAGTAAGTCCTGATGTTTTCTGGTTTGCCAGTCTTTTATAATTTATTCTTCATAACAACATCTGAATTTCCTCAAAATTAAAAAATCAGTATCCATTTAAGCATAGTTGTAAACTCATGCACTTAGTCCCATCCTCTTAATGTGAGTACATTGAATTCACATGTACTTGGTGGTATAGTTTCTGTGTTGATATGGAGGCTGAGCTTCCCTCCCAGGTGTGCTGTTCCTTATAGCTGATATACTCAGCCCAAATGTAAAAACTGGCCTTTCTGCCCTGGCCCAGTAGCTCAGTTGGTTAGAGCATTGTCCCATACATCAGAAGGTTGTAGATTCGATTCCCAGTCAGGACACATACCTAGATTGGGGGTTCAATCCCCAATTGGGATGCGTACGTGAGGCAACCTATTGATGCTTCTCTCCCCCACTTCCTTTCTCGAAAAATCAATGAAAACAAATTCTCTGGTGGTATTAAAAAAACAAAAACAAAACCTGGCCTTTCCCCCTAAGTCACTTCAATACAGATGCAATTTACAGTTGTACAGAATCACCACATTTCTCTAATGGAGCAGTACAGCTAGGCTGATGTGATCCTCAAGCTTTTGCAGACATTCACAGAAGGCTCCTGCTCTCTGTCCTGGTAGATTTAATAGTTTCCAGAGGCAGATTCTCTTTGTTAGGTGTTTACACCTTTACCTACCCAAAGCTGTGCCCTATTAAAGGGTATTATTTCTAGATCCTGAAGTTCAGAGTTATCTTGCATGACTGCTACTTATTCTGCAGATTTGAAGAACTAGTTCAGGTCTTTAGAGAAGCATGTTATCAACCAAGCAGCACCCTTGTCATTTGAAAGAGTTAATACTTCTCTCCAAGTAGTGAATTTAATACCAGGGATTGACTTACATGGTCAGGAAAGTAAATTTAAGGTGTTCTTTTAGCACTGTAGGTAATAAAAAGCTATGATTTTAAAGCCTAGAATTAAGGTGCTCTGACAATGTAGGGGAAGAACTTTATACATTTTTGGGAAAGCTGGTGATGCAGGAGTTTGATTTCTTTGTAGAGGCTAGCCCACTGCTGTGACCTCTGGATATACTGCTAAGTGTAAAGGTTCATAGAAGAAAAGGGACAGCAAAGGTTGCCATGCTCCTTGTTCTTGGAATGATGGTGGGGCTATAACAACTAGGGGGAACTGCCTAGAAAAGGAGTCCTACAGGAAATCCAGGTCACACCCTACCACTCCATGAAAATGTCATTTTCTTTCCTTCCTCTTCCTCACCAGGCTGCTAGCTCCAGACTGCGAGATCCTACAGGAAGTGGGAAAACTCTACCCACTGGAGATAGTATTTGGAATGAATGGAAGAATATGGGTGAAGGCAAAAACCATTCAGCAGACCTTAATTTTGGCAAACATTTTAGAAGCTTGTGAACATATGACAGCAGATCAAAGAAAACAAATCTTCTCCCGATTGGCAGAAAGTTGATCTATGTGAATTTTTTTTAAGGATCAGTTGAGCCAAGAGACTGGATTCCCTGGGGAAAATTTTTTTCAGGTGAACCTCTCCCCATTAAATCTTCAGAAGACAAGATTTGTCTTATGAGAGTCTTTAAAGTATTTTTATAAATAAGTCACTGATTGCCACCCATGTTCTTGTGGGTGAGAAAAAGTATTATAAAATAATGATTGTTTTTTTGTTGTTGTTCTTTTATAATAAAGTTTACTAAAAGTTAGTATTACAGTTTACTTGGTGTTACTTAGTTTTGCTAGGGCAGTTTCTATAATAAACTGGAAGTGAGCATTAAAAGAATTATTTTCTGATAATAGTAAAATACATTCGCCAAAGAAAATGTAGAATACATAAAAAGTATAAAGCAGCAAACAAAAATCACCCATAATCCCATTATTTAGTGGTGAGCATGTAACAGCTAACAATTACCATGTGTTTACATAGCAAGTATTGTTCCAAGTGTTTTGCTTGGATTAACTCATTTATTAGTAACTGCAGAAGACATTTAGCCCCCTACTACAAGAAACAAGCAGAGGCTTTAACTTGATCTACATTCTCAACCACTATGTGAATGTATGTTTTTCAAGTTGGAATTACAGGATTATATTTTATATACTACTTTCTAATAGATTTTGTCCACTTCACCATTTAATATATTTCTTTCATATTGCTATTAAAAATTCAGTAGTTGTATGTTTTATTTGCATGTTATAGGATAAATATGTATATATATTGTTGGATATTTTGGATATGTCCTGTTTTTTGTTGTGTTATAAATAACACTAAGATGAAGACCTCTGAATCTTAAGTCCAATCAAATCTTATTTTGCTAAGGTCATTTCCTAGAAGCCAAAAAAATACTACCTTCCTAGGTTTTGAAAAAATTGTAGAGGTTTGTGATAGAGTTGGAGAGGAAATTCTATGCTATTTGGTATTTTAAGCAAAGCCTTTAGAGGTGAAAATGAAGCCTGGCAGATGATCCAGGTCAATGGTTCTGGGGTCATAGACCTTCCTGAGAATACAGTAAGTTATAGACCCTTGGAACATATCCACTGAGGTCCCTTTGGATGACAGAGATTATAGGACTATGTTGATGAAGACCAAGGAACATTATGTATTCCTAAAAATGTTTCCTGAAGACTTGGCTGCTTTTAAGTAATAAAGAGACACTGATACAGTTTATCAAGAGATCATAGATCCTGAGGGATTAAAACTGTGAAGGGCACAGAACACAGAAGTAACCTTTTGGTTCTTTTGAGATAGAGAATACATTTCCTGAATTTGCTAGCAGCTTCGAGATAAGTTGACTAGCCCAAACTGGCCAGAGTAACTGAGGCAACTGTATCTAACTAGGACATGAGAAAAGGGACCACAGGTTTGTGTAATAAGAGGTTTTCTAACATGCTTGTGTCAGATGCAGTGTATTTTCCAGCTATTTTCAAGTTAGACTTATCAAGACTGTTTTTTCTTTTCAGAGAGGAGCAGAGAGGGAGAGAGAGAGAGAGAAACATCAATGATGAGAGAGTCATTGATCGGCTGCCTCCTGCACACCCCCCACTGGGGATCGAGCCCGAAACCCGGGCACGTGCCCTGACGGAATCAAACTGCGACCTCCGGGTTCATAGGTAGACGCTCAACCACTGAGCCACGCCAGCCAGGCTGCTTTCCAATTTGAGCTGATAATTACAAATATATGTGAAGAGTCTAGTTTGTACAAGGCTCAGAACGATACAAAGATATTCCCACTAATTGTCCTGTAGGAAGGCTACAGTTAGGAAGAGAGAAGCCTTTCCACACTCATACTTGGAACAGGGGAGACAAGGTAGGAGCCACAGGTGGGGAAAAATTGCTATGGGGGCTCAATGAGGGCTATGTTAGGAAAGGCTGGTCCTGAAAAGTACATGCACAACATACTACTGAGTTGGGGGAAAATCAGCATGCTCAGAGGAGGTTGGACAGGGTCATACAACTTTATGATGCCAGTTTAGTGAAAATTAAACTCTTGATATCATAGTATTTAATTTAAGCTATCTCTAAAGAGTATGTATACAAAAATGAATTAACACATCTAAAGCCACGTAGTTTAAGGGCTAATTCCCTGTTATGTAAACTTTTTACTTAGGATATAGTGGGCACTTCCTGTGAGCCAGGCACTATAGGAGATACAAAAGAGCATAAAATGTGGTCCCTGTTATTAGTAACATATTCTAATGAAGATCCAAGATGTGAAGTAAAGGCAAATGTGTGCCGTCACCCCGTTTGCTCTGCTCTTTGGTCAAGGCCCCTCCAGCAACTTCGCCTCTTGCAGGTGCTATTGTAGGCTGTCCATCATTCCACTGAGTTCTGAAGAACATAGCCTTTTCTGGAAGAAACTCCTTTCTTCAATGCTTCAGGCCAGTTTTGAGTCTCAAAGTAAGTGGACAGGATATCAAATACTGTTAGAAGGGTAAAGAGAGAACACAGTGACCACACTGGAAAAAGAACTAGTAAATGACTAATGAGGAAAAGGGTGTTCTGGAATATTTCATCAACAAACCTACTGTGTACCACACATGGTATTAGATCCTGGGGAGACAGATGCAAAGATACAGGCCCTGCTTGCCCACAAGGGCCTCAGCCTACACTGACAGATAGAGGCCTGTACACGGACAGTGCTGCAACAGAGGAACACAGTACGATGGGAACACAAAGGAGGGGCCCTGACGTGGCCTGGGACAGGGAGGGGAGCAGCCAAGATGCCTGTGAACTGAATCCTGAAGGACAAATAGGAATTCACTGGTCAATGGTGGGTTAAAGGCAGGGCATTCTAGGCCAAGGCAATAATTTCAACTGTATTGAACATAGTTGGGAATTGGGAAGAAAATGAAAAATACCTTCGAGGGGCCAGAATACATGTCACAAAGTGCATGCAATAAAGTCCAAGCACATCATTCATGGGGGAAACTGCTTCAAGGGCCATTCATACTTAGGCACAATGCAAAGCAGCAGCACCAGAACTAACACATGTTAAGCAGGGGCCATGTGGGCTGTACCTTGATTGATGGCCAATATCTCTGAATGATAGTTTTTCTCATTCTGGCGTCTGACCATGTATTCCTGGATTGGCAAGCGGGCTGTCCTGACAGAGTGTTCTTGGGCCTTTTGAAATGTCACCTTCTGTAAATCACAGTTAAATATTTTTCTTTTAAAAATAATACACCAAAATATTCTCGTAACATGCATAGCAAATTGTGAGATCCCCATTTACCACCACTCTAATTTCCATCTGTAATCATAATAAGTATTAAAAATAAGTAGCCTGTTACTAATCAATGTCATCTCAATAAATTCAATAAAAATAAAATAAAATAAAGAATACTGCAAATAATGAAAGTATTTACTTGTCCCAAGTAAGAAATGGCTGTGCAGCAACACCTCACTTATTTGGGAGTCATTTATCCACCATTTTCCACTCACTACTACTTACAACCAAGAAGGAAGTAAGTTAAAAGAGGCATATCTACAGCCACAATCCGTGTCCAAAAGTTCAAGCAGTCTAATCAATTAGAGGAGAACTTGCCTGGCCCTAACGCACTAAGACCCCATCTAGATACTGAGTTTTCAGCTCATAGCCATTTGGTAGCAGCAAATTAGAGATGAGGGAGACAGGGTTCAAGTCAGGTACACCAGTAGGTGCAACAAAGCATTAGGTGTGAGAGCTGAGGAAGGGGAAGGGCTCTGAAAACTGCAAAAAGGAGTGACAAGAACTCAAGAAGTCCAATAATCTGAGGCCACGTAGGGTCTCATTTAGAGAAAAGTAACTAATGTCCCTTTAAAGATGTCCCTGAGCCATGAACTGAAGTTTAAATTATATTTGCTAACTTGTAAGAAGCTAGAAAGGTCATCTAACTATTTGCAATTTCAGGATTAGAGAGAAAGGTTTAGGTTACTGGGATAATTAACACACTCGGGCTTGGAAGGGGCCTCAATAGTTAACTGTTACCTTCCAACCACCCATCATCCATTTCTGTCTACCTTCTGTGACCTCTCTCCCAAGTGGCCTCTGGCTTTAAATGGACAACCCTTGTGACAGGGAATTCATACATCCTGGGAGAACCTATTCCAGTTTCAACGGTAGCAGTTAATAGGAAAACCTTCTTGATATTGAGTCAAGTTCCCTTTTTTTGTGTGTGTGTGTGTGTGTTTTTTTGCTGAGGCTTCCACTCATTTGTCTGAGTTCTGTCCTATCAGGGCTACACCAAGCAAGTAAGACAGCCATTCGGATACTTGAGGCAGGGATCATGCCACTATGACTCCTCCTCTCCAGCCTCATAGTCTCAGTTCTGTCAACTAACTGTTGTTCCTTGACTATGACTTAGTTTTGAGTCCCTTCATCATTCAGGTCAACCTCTTCTGAACTTGTTAATGTCCTTTTATTTACAGTCCCATAATTCACTGGCCACTCTAAGTATGGTCTAACCAACTGGAATAGCATGAAGCAGGCCTAGCACCTTCTTTGTTCTGACACCCAGACCACCTCCCTCTCAGACTCACTTGAAACACAATTCCAAGAGGGAACTTCCAAAGATGTTTTAAGTAATGTGTTTCGGATGGAATAAGGGTAGAGCTACTCAAAGGAATTCTTTGAAGGATGACATTCCTTGTAAATATGAGCTATGATTGCTTTAAAAAAAAAGTCTATTTTTTTTTATAACCACTTTACACTAGAGTACAGAATTCAAAGTTAGTAGGAAACTTGGATGCTGCCCTGGAATAAGCACCACTTTTCAAAATACAGTTTTTCAGCCTAAAATGTACACTTACCTTCTGAATACTTTCGTCCACAAGTCCACCAAGGATATAAACTTTGTTTAGATCAACATCTTCAAGAGCTAATGAAGAAATAAAGGCCAATGAGATCAAATCTTTATAATTTCTAAATCCAAAGAAAGTAAAAGGAAAGAATGATAAAAGTAGAAATTTAATGAAATAGGAAACAAAGATAGTAGGTTCACTAATTCTCTGAAAAGACCAATTAAATAGACAAACTTTTGACATATCTAATCAAGAAAAAAGGGTGGTAGACTTGAATCAGCATTAGAATTCAGAAAGGAGACAAAATTAAAATTACAAGGAATGTGCAAAAATTAGAAGAGAATATGAAGATCAACTTAATATCAATAAATTTGAAAATTATGTCAAATAGATGATTTTCTGGGGGAAAAAATCTAACATTGATCCAAGAAGGGTCAATGGAGGGACTTGACCAGGGAAACTAGCTAGCTACAGTGCTATATGAATCTGTGCAGTAAAGAACATACCATGTTCTGAGTCAGGAGTCAGGTACACAAGGGTTTCCAGGGGGAATAAACTAAAGCAGTCTTCTTCTGTTATGTCTAGCTGAAAAATACAAATAATCCAATGTACTAGGTTAAGACATAGCCCACACTACAGCAACTAGTTACTGGACACTTTGTTTCTCTCAGGCATGGTGCTAGGTGCACCAGGGGGCTACATATTTGACAACCTGTTCTCAGAAAGTGCTCAGCTGGGGCGGGGACATGGAAAGGCACAGACATTCAACCCTACAAAATTAGAAAGTAATATGAGGCCCTAGGGGACATACAGGGAGTACACCCCAGGACTACAGGTGAGGGAGGGACATCACCAGAGACAAACCTCTCGTGTAGGGAATGCTTGAACTGGGTTTCTGAAAAGAGGTGAGCCTGACACATACAAAAGAAAGAAGCCCTCAAAGTGGAGGGAATCACCTAAGAAAGACATGAAGACAGGAGAGCAAGGGGACTACGTGGCCCCAAGAGCAGGTCTATTTGGTTCACGCACAGGAATCATCAAACATGTACAGAGGAAAGTAAGGCTAGAAATGGCTGCCCTACAGCGGGGACTGTTAAGACAGCAGCAACCACGACTGACTGCAGCACCGCACAGGGCACTCCTCACACTCATCACCTCTGTGACCTCCCTCAGAAAGGCCACACTGCCCGGTCTCAGCTACATAATGCAAACACACAATGGCATTTTTAGAGGCATTTCGTAGAAACTGATCTGGATTCTCACCTGTATGTCAATCACTACACTTATGAGATCCAAAGGAGAGTTGAAAAGTAACTAGGTATTCCCTAAAACTAAGCTTACATCCATGTTTCTTCCATAAGGATTCTTTCTCTTCCTCCAAAACCCAAGTTTCCTAAGTCTGCATTACTGAGAACAAGAAAGAAGTCATGACATCGCCTCAAAACATTCCTGGAATATACAGTCCAGCATACAATATACAGGACACAAAATACAGTCCTACATACTTTTTGCCAATGTGGTGGAAAGAAGAAAAATTTTAAATAAAAGAACTGATGAGTGGTTCTTCATTTTTTAGATTGTAATAATGAAAACACATAATTTATATGTTTTGCATTAAAACATGAAAAAGTAAAAAAAATTACCCCACAACCTACTTTTTAGACGACAATTAAAATAATATGCAAAATGAGGCTTACCAGGTAACTAGAAAATCCATCATTCATCCTCAAACACTCTTCATACAAGGGACTGTCTGCTGTGAATCCAGTGAGGCAGATCCAGAATGGCCTGTCAGCTTTTTTATTCGAACCATACAACCTTCGGATCTGCCCAGCCAGCCTACTTAGTTCCTTCAAAGAAATGAGAACAACTTAAGGTGGAAACATGCCCTCTCTTTCTAAATTCATTATCAACAAATGGTTACTCAGTAAGTTCACTGAGAACTACTCTGGAAAATCTCATGACTAGAATGACCCCCTTTATTCCAGGAGTGAGTTCATGCATGTGTGAGTTGGAGCTATACCTCATGGCATCACACCTTATAGATGAAAGCTGAGGTAATGGCACTAGCCCAGAAACAGTGAGTTAATGGAAAAACTGATAATGCTCCCTCCTTCAGGACCTGCCCTTATATATATATATATATGATACATAAAATTGTTCTTTTAGCTTTTATCTAAAATCTTACCATGTGATGTTTACTACTTATTAAAGAGAGGTTAGATTACTATAGACATTTTTATACTCCATCAAATAAACTGGGTACCTTCTCCCAGACTCCAGGAGATGTAATAGGATTGAAGTTGCAACTTTCCATTCTGATTCAGAGACCTCACAATCTGGCCTGATTTGGTTCATAGAGGAGAAAAGCCTTTGAGTTTTATTTAATCTATCTCAATATAAACAATAGAAAACCCCTGGTTGACCTCTTCAGAGGACTAAAGTTAGAGGTTCTATGTAAAAACCTTAGATCTTCAGTTTTCCTAATTTCTCTGAAAAACAGGCAAACTCTAGCACACACAGCAGGGGTGTTGGAAAATAGAAAGATTTGTTTTGCATTGTAAGGCCTAAAATTAAGGCCTAATAATGGGTGCTGCCTTGACATCTAGTGAAAGTGGGTGGGACTTAAGTAGCCTAATTGCAAGTTCCTCTCCCAGTTCTTCTCCCACAGATAAGGTCCCCTTGCTAAATAATCCCTTTTATCAAAGGGACCAGGAGTAGTTTCTGATTATCCCTGAGCAGTGGGTTCTAATTCCTGCCAGCCCACAGAATTATTCCAACAATCTAACCACACCTTTCTGCAGGAGCCAGAGACACCCACCCTCTTGATACTACAGAGCTGCTCCCACAGTCCCTGGCTATTCATTCTGTTCCCAAGTGCAGCCCCTTGTGCCCCTGCATGGCTTGCAGTGTCATCCTCCCCCAGCTGAGTGTATGTGACTAATAAACTGCTGTCCATCTTATCTGTGCAGTGTTGAGTGCCATGTGTTCAGCCATCCCCAGGACCCAAGGGTGGAAACCCCTCCTTCACCAGTAGGGTGAATGGGAGATCACTAAAACACATACACAGCAGGAAGACAAGCCACCAGGTCATCTCCCCACAATGTGTAACCAGGCAAATATTCCTCTCCTCAGCAGAAGGCCAAAAGTTTTGTCTCTGGAGAATTGAAACTGAGAGGCTACTACTAGACTGACGACACCATAAACACAGAGGCAAAGGGTTGATCTCAAAGCAGAAGGTAAAAACGTGCCAACTAAGCCAGAGCATGTCTGTTCTCTCCGATTCTTTGTAGCAGCCACCTTGGAACTTAGCCATGTGTAGGAAACTAAACACTTTTGTCCCATCCTCACCCGAGGATATATTTATTGATTTTAGAGAGAGGAAGGGAGAGAGAGAGAAACATCGATGTGAGATGGAAATGTCGACTGGTTGCCTCCTGTATGTGCCCTGACCCAGGACCGAACCCGCAACCCACATAGGTGGCCCTGACTGGGAATCTAACCCGCAACCTTTCTGGTGTACAGGATGATGCTCACCCTGGCCAGGCCCTAAACACTTTCGCTGATTTACTACAGAATCATGGAAGCTGGAGCCAGTCATGCTCTTTGTGAAAGCTACTTCCTTCTGGGCTTCCCTCACGTGAGCAGGAATTAGTGGGTATTTACCTTCTTAGACATGTGGTTGGTCATACTTAAATCGATACAGAGTCTTGGTCCTGAGTGTTTGGCCTCCAAAAGTTTCTCCTTGGTTAAGGATCTCAGAAAACGTTTGCTGTGCTGGGGGCAGATGCCTAGAGTAGAAATATCAGAAAAATATGTAAATGGGAAAACAGAGGAATAATATTCAGTAAGAAACAAATCTGCCCAGCCAGGTGAGTACTATTTGCATAGGAAGAGAAACTAGAAACTTGAAGCTTGGGCAAGGTATTCACTCATTAGGCAGTTTAGGTACCACAGAGGGGTGATGACTGTGGGCCCTGGAGCACACTGCTGGGTCTAAATCCAAGTTCAGTTTGTTCACTGATTACCTGTATCATCTTAAGCATGGTATTTAATTTCTCTGAGCCTCAGTCTCTTCACCTACAAAATAAGGATAATAAAAGACCTACCCCTTAGGGTAATCCATGTAAAATTCTTAGCACTGAACCTGCACACAGCACTGAGTAAATGTTAGGTGTTGTTGGTATCATTCCTTCTACTTCTGAGTCTATAAACACATATGTACACTAGATAGTTTATATATGAAAGGCAGACTTCAATTTTGTTTTGATACTTTGATTCCCAACAAAATAGGACTATAGGCGTCACCTCCCAGATGTTTGTTTTCACTTGAAAACAGTATTACTACTCTCCTAGGAATATGCAGATAACAATTTGCTAAGAAATAAATATAATTATACCAGCAACCTGAATTATTGTTACCTGAACTTTCTACACGATTGGCTTTTCTTCTTTCTTTTTCTTGCTTTCTTTTGCTCTTCTTTGCTGCAACTATCTTTTCCCAGTGTCTCTGTTTCCTTTGGACATTTTTCTTAGATTATCCAGAAAACAAAATTGTTTGAGAACTTCATAAGCACCAAAAAGGAAAATGAATATTAGAAACAGTTACTTTTTTTTTTTTTTTTTAATTTAGATATAAAGTTAGGAGAGAAAAAGGATATTAGGCTTAACAATAAAAATAGACTAGATTGTGTTTAGAGAAAGCAGAGCCCCAGAAAAGACATGTGACCTGCCAGGCCTACAGTAGTTTAGATTTCCTGACCCTTCTGAGATATATATAAAAATTCCTCTTGATCTTTATTTACTTTTCCTATAATGCAAATGGAACTGAAGCCTTAAACCAGTTAGCAGGAAATTCAACCCTTGGAATGCACCAAATTCATTCCTAGTCTTTTTGTTACCAGTATCTACCCTTAGAATAGGGATCTCTGGTACATTTTACCACCTCAAAGCCCATGGCCACCCATTACACTCACCGAGCACCACACTGCACTGCCTGTGGACGGGGTCTCTCTCTCCTCATGCTCACATTCCACATCAATCTGTAGAAGCTGGAAGCTCTCAGACATGCCATCTTCACCTGTGTCCTCTAGGATGACTTCTTGCTCTTGCAGCACGTGTGACTCTGTTTTCTGAGCACTCCCTTCCAATTTCCAGTCCATGTGTGTAGTCCTCTGCCCTTCTCACCCGGATTAGAAAAGGCACAATTATGTGAGACATTATATTATTTCACTTACAGAGGTATCCCCCTATATCCAAGGGACAAATAGCATTATTGTGTTACTAAAGGAGAATTGTGTGAAATACACAGGTTTATTGAAAAGCATGAGTGTCTTCAGGAGAAATGAGTCAGCACAGAAATGTTTCAGTGGTAAGGGAGCCAAATCCACTTCTCAGAAGACAAGCACAATCCTGACACCTCGAAGCAATCAATGATTTATTCACTGCTGCAGTGACACAAAAAACGAAGTTATTTCTGGTGTTCTTCGAAATCCATTCATGAGTTGAGGGCAGGACAAAGATGGCAAAAGCCACCTCCCTTATGTTTCGGTTTATTTCCAAAACCATTCCTTTAGCAACTATTTATTGAGCACCTACTATATGCAAAGTCCTGTACTAGAAACATCCTTGAAGAGTGAGCCAAAAAATATGGCAAAGGGTGGCCAGACACCAACCAAGAATTCTTCTAGGTTGCTGGTGATATATCAAAATTTGTTTTTCCAAATTATCTATCCCTCTCCCAACTCAGTTCTGTATCACTGCAGCAGAAAGCCACAGTCACCAGTGAGAATGTTTAATATCCCTCAGAAGTGCTAAGGCAGAAAATTATAGAGAACCACAGTTATAGCACACTTAACAAATGTCACCATTTCAAAGTGGTATTCAATATCCCTAAGATATGAGTAAAATATACTCTATCTACAGCTGTCACAAAGAATGGTATGACCATTGCTCATGGCTGCTTACCACCTAGTGATCCTCAGAAAGCAAAGGTGAAGTAGGGCATCACAGAAGCACAGATCTATCAATCCACATGAGATATTATCTATGCCCACACTTAGCATTTCATTTCTTCATTAAAAAATGTTTTCTGAGCCTCCATTATAGGTCCAGTGCTGGGCACTGAGGTGACTCAGTTAATTAACCATTTAACAAATAGTTACTAAGCATTTGACGTAACAGCACATGCTGAGGAGAGGACTGGGGGAGCACATTCATTCTGTCTTCATGGGGCTGCAAGTGTCTGACTCAGCCTTGCAGGATAGCTGTTCTGCCTGTTTCCCACCAGATTACAAATACTTCTAGGAGAGAGAGGATGAAGAATTCACGGGCACACCCCAAGCACTCAACACAGAGCCTCGCAGAATAAAAGCATCCTAAATGATTGGTAATCATGCCATTCTTCTGCTCAGAACCATGCTGGATTCTCTGCTTCACTTACAGTGAACAGCCAAAATCTTTACGATGGCCTGTACTGATCACTAAGGCCTAACCTCCCTATCTACTGTCCTCTACCATCTGATCTACTTGCTGAGCCTAAGGCATACCAAGGATAGTCTCACCTCAGGGCCTTTGCACTTGCTATTCTCTTTACCTCCAATGCTCTTCCTCTAGGTAATTATTTAACTACATTTCTCACTTCATTCAGATTTTCATCACGCAAAGTTGCACATATTTTACCTAGTTTTTGTGAGAACTTTTCCATTCACGTAACCAAGTGCTCTGTTTGCTTTGTTCACTACTGTATCCTCTGTGCCTAGAAAGGGGCTTGGTACATAACAGATGCTCAATAAATACTAGCTACATTAATAAAGCCACTTTCTCAAAAACCAGGCTCCTTGTGTGAAGTAACCTCAGCCCCACCCACCCCAGGCTCATCTCTGAGTTTTCCAGCCCAAGTCCCACCTGATGAGCATCTCTGTTTGCATGCTTCTCTTAAGTTTTAGTCCACGGAAGCAGGCTCCACGCCTCTGTCACCTTCAGCAACAGGACACCTAGACCCTAGGCCCGAAGGTACCCCACCTGCCCACAGGCTGCGAGTGCGAGAGGAGGCAGGATGGGGAAGTACTAAGGTGTGGAACACCAGGCCACACGGCTGTTAAACGCCGTTCCCACGCGTCTTCCCCGCCCGCAAACCCCGCAGCAGCCCGGCTCCAGACCCCGAAACCCTACCCCGCCCCGCCACGAGCCCCCGGCGTACCTGATCCGGCGACCTCACGCCAAGGCTGGGCACGTGAGGCCCCGCCTCCGAACCCACTTCCGGTTCCTGCCCCTTTCCGAATGGCATTCTGGGAATTGTAGTTTTCGGCCTGACAGCTCGGTGTTCTGGGGCGTGAGCGGAGGCTTGGCTTTCCCAGCCTCACCCAGGCTCCTAGTTGCTCTGTCCCATCCAAAGTGTTGCCGCGCCCCTCTGAGCCTGTTTTCCCGACTGCTACACTGTATTGCGATCCCAGCTGCTTGCCGATCTACAGGGCTGCTGCAGATGATCAGGCGCTTTAACAGCTGTCAAGGACTGCACATTGTGAAACTGGGCTGAAACCAGACTCGAACCACCTCTCGTCTCACAGCCTGGGGGCCTTGCCCTCCGCTGGGCTTCTCTACAATCAGCAAGGACCTCGAGTTGACACAGCCCTTCCCTGAGCACACATTCCCCTTCACCCGCACCTGGCTGTCCAGGTTCACAGCAGAGATATCCGGGCCTGACCAGGTAGGGAGTGAGTCAACGGGGAAACCGAGGCTCTGAGACCTGGAGTGACTTGCCCAACCCTAGTCCTGATAAAAACTATCAGCCATTCTTTTCTTTATTTCTCCAGCCCTAGGGGTCCCACCCTTTCAGAGAGACCCTACTATGAATGAGTTTGAAATGTCTCCCACCCAAGAAACCACAGCTCTGTTGGATCCCTCCTTGGCCCCACGCTTTTACACTCTGGACTTTTCTTTCCTCAGCAACTCCTATACCATCCTCAAGCCATACTCCAATCCATCCTTTATCTGCTACTGGAGCAAACTAGCCCCCCCCCCCC